ATAATTTATTCAAAATGGTCGAAAGATGCTTTTGAAATATTGTTTTCACTCACGGTGAAAGGGATCACACAGCCAATTTTATTTTAATTCAAGGATATTAAATATGTAAGAGGCTCTCGTGATGAATATATTTTTAATAAGAGCAGGTACAAACAGAAACAAGTTTTATGATGTTGAATTTCTTCAGGTAGGTGAAGTGGGGTGTACTACTTGAAGTAGATTACTGCTTTTTTTTTTTTAAAGATTTTATTTATTTGACAGAGAGAGACACAGTGAGAGAGGGAACACAGCAGGGGGGGTGGGAGAGGGAGAAGCAGGCTTCCCGCTGAGCAGGGAGCCTGATGCGGGGCTCGATCCCAGGACCCTGGGATGATGACCTGAGCAGAAGGCAGACGCTTAATGACTGAGCCACCAAGGCGCCCCTAGATTACTGCTTAAGAAACCTTGCCCACAGTTCACATCCAATAAAAGGAGACCTCCAGGAGAACATCTTTTTTCCTTCTCTTACCACCCAAAAGAAGTGAAATAACACTACAGGGGAATGTCCAAAAAGAGGATTTGACGTTAACCAATGAGTAATTTACAAAGCAGCAAGTTGGCTGGCTTTGACTGCATAAGCAAAGAGCTTACACAGATAATGTTATGGTTTAATTCACTTCACTCAAATAAGACTCAATTCTAAAGTTAAAATTTGAAAGGATAAAAACTTTTTTCAGTGCCACTCAAAGGCAAATAAAGGTTCTTATTATTTAAATCTTTTTTTTTTTTTTTAGATTTTGAGAGAGAGGGCGCAAGAGAGAAAGCGAGTGGGTGAGGGGGAGGGAGAGGGACCAGCAGACTCCTCGCTCAGCCTAGAGCCTGAGACAGGGCTCTATCCCACAAACCTGAGATCATGACCTAAGTGGAAATAGAGAGTTGGACACTTAACTGACTGAACACCCCCCCACCCCAGACATCCCACAGCTTTTAAAAAGATTTTTATTTATTTGAGAGAGAGAGGGGGAGAGAGCATGTGTGCAGGCGAGTGGGGGAAGGGACAGAGGGAGAGGGAGAGAGAATCTCAAGCAGACTTGCACTCAGCACAGAGCCCTATGCAAGGCTGATCTCAGGACCCTGAGATCATGACCTGAGCTGAAACCAAGAATCAGACGCTTAACTGACTGAGTCACCCAGATGCCCCAAAGGCTTTTAAAAATAAAGGTTCTTAAGTAAAGAGTCATGAATAAGTTTAAGTATAAGGCAACCCAGAAAAAGAAGAGAGCTAGAGGAATTAACTACTAGGTATTAGGGTTAAACATAATATTTGTTCCAGACTTAATTACTGTAGTAATTAAGTAACAGTGTGGTATTATTACAAGGATAATATAAGGATAAAAGACCAAGAAATAAAACAGAGTCCAGAAATAGAAAAACACATATATGATTACCTGATTAACAGCAAAAGCTTCCAGTGCAGAAAGGACAGTCTCTTCAATAAACAGTGAATAGCAATTAGATATTTATATGAGGGGAAAAAAAAAGAACCTTGACCCCCACATCACACAAAAACTAATTCAAGATGAATCACAGAGCTAAGTGTGAGAAGCAAAACAAAAAATATTTAGAAGAAAAGAGAGTATCTTCATGATACTGGGATAGGCAAAGATGTCTCAAAAGGGTCACAAAAGTCACTAAAAGGAAACACTGATAAATTAGACTTCATTAAAAATTACCAACTTTTGTTCATCAAAAGATACCATTAACAGAGTGCAAAAGCAAGTTACAGACTGAAAGAAAATATCTGAAATATATATATCCAAACAAGTGACTTAGGATATATAAAGAACGCCCACAAATTATTAGAAAAAGGCATGTACCCAACAGAAAAATGGGCAAAAAACTTAAAAAAGGGCTTCACAAAAGATAATATTCAAATGGTCAATGAGAATATGAAAATACGCTCAACATCATAAATCATTAGAGAAATGCATAAGAAAATCACAGTGAGATCCATTATGTTTCCATCAGAGTGGCTAAAATTAAAAGGTATGAGAATACTAAGTTTTGGTAAGGATGTTTAACAACTAGAACTCTCTCTCATTGCTGGTAGGATTGTCAACTGGTCCAACCACTTTGGAAAATTAGTTAACAATATCTACCAAAGCCAAACATCATGTATCTGGCAATTCCGTTCTAGGGTATATACCCAATAGAAATAGGTGATCATGTACACCAAAAGACCTGTACCAGAATGGTCACAACAGCTTTATTCATAATAGCCATGGACTGGAAAAAACCTAGGTAACCATCAATTGAAGAATGGATACACAAATTGTGGTATATTAACACAATGGAAAACTACATTACAATGAAAAAGAATGAAATACTGCCATAAGCAACAGTATGAATAAATGTCACAGAAATAATGTTGAGTGAAGCCAGTCAAAAAAGAGTACATACTGTATGATTCCATTTATTTGTAGTCAGGAACAGTCAAAAGCAATCTATGATATAAAGTTAGAGTAGCAGTGATTACCCTGGGAGGGAGGGAAGTATATTGCCTCTGAAGAGGGCAAGAGAGCCAGTAAAGTCCCGGAAATGTTCTACATCTTAATGTAGGCGGTGGTTCCACTTAAGCTGTACACTTAACATTTGTGCTTTTTTTTTTTTTAATCTATGATCTTGAGGGTTTTTTAAAAGATTTATTTTAGAGAGAGAGAGAAGTGTGCATGAACACATGTGCACAAGGGGAGGGGCAGAAGGAGAGCAAGAGAAGCAGACTCCCCGCTGAACATGGAGCCTGACAGGATGCACTCTCACAACCCTGAGATCATAACCTGAGCAGAAATCAAGAGTCAGACACTTAACGGACTGAGCTACCCATGTGCCCCATTAACATTTCTGCTAATACTGTGTATAAACTATAGCTCAAAACAAAACAAAATGAATACAACAAGAAAAAGAACAGGCTTCAGGTGGCAGGTGAATCTCCAAAACAATGCAATATTTTGTACGTACTGCATTTTTCTTAGACAAAAGTCATTAGACTGCCTATTAGAATATCAACTCCCTGATGGCAGGTATTTTTGTCATTTTTATTCACTACTGTATCTCCAGGCATGGTACACAGCAGATACTCGATAAATATTTGCAGAATAAGGTGCACCTGGGTAGCTCAGTCGGTTCAGTGTCTGCCTCCAGCTCAGGTCATAATCCCAGAGTCCTGGGATCGCTCCCCGCTCAGTGGGGAGCCTGCTTCTCCCTCTCCCTTTCCCCGCCCCCCCCGCCCCCCATTCATGCTCTCTCTCTCTAATAAATAAAATCTTAAAAAAAATATTTGCAGAATAAGTTTGCAAAAGGAGCTGTTAAGCAAAAGTAAAACGAAGCAATCATTAACTAAAATCTTGGTATAATGAGTTATTTGAATTAACGGAAGTTTATAAAGTAATTGCTAGAGTCTAATGATGGTAACTTGAATTAGCTTATGCAGGTGTGTCTCAGTACTTTCAAACACAAGAAAGACTAAACCTAAAATGAAAATTTCTTGTGTGTACAGAATTTAAGGTCTCTTCCTTCTGTGAGTCACTCTATATCAGGCCACAGGGGCTTAGAAACCAAGTTAAAACACTTGCAACTAAAATAAACCTCAAGTTTGAAGACACATTCATTGCTTCCAAAAAATTGCTAAGGCAAAAATAAGTGAAATTCAGTGGAATTTACTAAAATCAACTAAAACAATCTATCTAAAACTTGTTTTTCCTCAACCCTAGGTGTCATTTGGCAATGTCTGGAGACATTTTTGTTGGTCACAACTGGAGGGTGCTTTTGGCATCTAGCAGAACAGGCCAAGGGATGCTGCTAACCATCCTACATGCAGACATCAGCCCTCTACAACAATGAATTTATCCAGCCCAAAATGTCCACAGTGCTGAGATTAAGAAATCCTGATCTAAAATATCACCTTATGTTAAAATAAAGGATTTAAAAAAATAAAGGATTTTATTAAGTGTATGAACTAAAGAGTCCTATTTAAACTATGAAATAATTCAAGTTTCTTTCAACTATTACTTTTCCAAAAATACGAACACTATATTTTTAAAGTTAAAATTGTACAGGGGCAGCACCTGGGTGGCTCAATTGGTTAAGCATCCGACTCCTGATATCAGCTCAGGTCTTGATCTCAGGGTTGTGAGTTCAAGCCCCACGTTGATTTAAAAAAAAAAAAAAAAAAGTGAAGTTGTACACATGTATCAAATGTCATAAAAAGGGGTATTTAATGTAAATATCTCCAGAAATAATAATCATCACTAACATTTCTAGGACAATCCTAGGCATATTACTTACTTTATCTCATTTAATATCAATATCCCCATGAAATAAGATTCTCATTTATAGTGATTAGAAACAAAATTTAGAAGAGATTAAATACTTGCCTAAGATTACACTGCTAGAAATGAATGGCATAGTGGAAATTTGCACTCAGATTATCTCCAAACCCATAGTGTTTCCATTAAAATGCATTAAACTTCAATTTCAAATGAGAGTCGAATCAAAATTAAAAGCACTGCAAGTTTCATTTTCCAGAGTCAATATGCCACTTTAGAAAGTGAAGAGCAAAGTCAGGAGAAGCCTACTTAGGAATTATGTACTAAGGACACATAAAAAACAAATCAGTGCCAATTTTTGAAAGGATAATCTATAGTTAATATTTTTTCTTATCACAAATAAAATTAAATAGTTTTATAAAGTTATATGCCAAAGTCATCAGCTACACTCTTGTCCTGGTCATACAACAGAATTACTGATGATAACATCAAAGCTTAAATGCTTACTGGCTGGGAGCTTAATCTTGACAACTCACTAACATGACCCACCTAGTCATCCCTACATGGTAACATTAGATTCCCAACACTTCAGTCAATCTAAGAAAAATATTCCTATATTAAACTCTATTACTTTCATCTCAACATTTAAGGGCTTATCATGATTCTTTGTATTAAGAGAAAGAAAACTATTCTTACCCTATTAAAGCCATGTTCACGAGAGTCATCAACTTCTCCATTACTAGTCACTGGAATTTCTGCTGCTGAATTTTTGGGAGATTCTTGAGCCATGCTATACTCCTAAAAAAAAGAAGAAAAGAAACAGTTGTAAATAACACCAAATCATAAAAGGCAAACATTCAAAAGACTCTTCATGTTTATAGCACTTAAAAGCCACTATTATAGCATTTTAAAAAACAATTACAACCTAACACATAATAAACATGATACTAATCTAATAAAAAATGCATGTGGCATTTAAAACTGCAGTCAACTTAAATTTCTTGTTTAAAAAAAAATGTTACCTGTAGATCCCAGTGAGCAATATCCTTGCTTCACAAATAGTGTAATGATAGACTACCAGTTACAACTGAAAAAAATATCACAGAAAGCCAAGCTCGATTATTAATTCCACTACGCAGCTCTACTTTTCCTGTTGTACATATTGGGCTTCTAGGTCAGCTTTTGTCTAAAGAGTTTCCCTGATATAACAAAAATTTTTATTTTTATTTTTTTTAAGACTGATTTATTTATTTGAGAGAGAGAGAACAGAGGGAGAGTGAGGGGGAGAAGCAGACTCCCTACTGAGCAAAGAGCCTGACATGGGGCTCAATCCCAGGACCTGAGCCCAAGGCAGATGCTTAACTGACTGAGCCACCCAGGCACCCCATAACAAAAATCTTTAAATCTCTATACTAGTTTTATACTCTAGCTTTACCGTTCTAAAAGTCAAATAATGTTTGGGGCACCTCGGTGGCTCAGTTGGCTAAGTGTCTGCCTTCCACTCAGGTCATAATCTCAGGGTTCTGGGATTAAGCCTCACATTGGGCTCCCTGCTTAGCGGGGAGTCTGCTTCTCCCTCTCCCTCTGCTCGTGCTCTCTCTCTCTCAAATAAGTAAAATCTTAAAAAAAGAAGTCAATAATGTTAAAAAATACAGTCCTTAATTTTATAACCATATTTTCTCTAAATATAAATTTCTTTCAGAAACTTACTATAGTTAATCAGTAATAGAAAGTCAATTGGGGTTGGTAAAAACTTTCCTTCCTCCAATCGTACGTGATTGTAAAAAGCATGTGTGGCTAAGGGTTAAAATGAGAATTTTATACCTGTAAAGGATCTTAAAAATTATCTATTTTTCCTAATTTTAAAAATTAAAAAACTTCAGAGTAAATAGCTAAACTATTCCACTTTTTTTAGAAAGATTTTATTTATTTTGACAGAGAGAGAGAGACACAGCAAGAGAGGGAACACAAGCAGGGGGAGTGGGAGAGGGAGAAGCAGGCCTCCCGCTGAACAGCCCAATGTGGGGCTCGATCCCAGGACCCTGGGACCACGACCCGAGCCAAAGGCAGACGCCCAAAGACTGAGCCACCCAGGCACCCCTATTCCACTTTTCACAGAGAATAAGTACCCCATCTCCGCCCAGCTCCCCTCCCTTTTAAACCAGTAATGGCTTTAAAAGTGTTATACACACACACACACACACGTACGCACTTTTAACAACAGTGAACACTAAAAGACTCGTTAGGAACACAATCGATATCTAACAATATGTGTTCTAATGTTCAATCCCGAATCTAGCTGTTACTCCTGATTCTGCACTACACAGAATTACCAAAACCAAACCAAACAACTAAAATGTGTGTGTGTGTGTGTGTGTGTGTGTGTCTATGTTTAATCTACAGACCTGAATCTACTACCTAGAGCATTAAGAGGTTCTTTGATTTTCTCCGGAGGAATTTTGTTTAAAAGATTAAAATAACTGAGATAGTGTTGTCATACCAAGCTCATGCATTACTCATTTTGTTTTTGAGGGGTTAAGGATGGGTTCAAGGCCAGGAACCTTTAAAAAAAATCACACTACATTTTTATAATTTAGGGAATTTTAATAGGGTAAGTCATACTACTAAAAGCAAGTATTAATGCAAATAGGTTTGTGGCCTATTCTCTACTTCAGTGAAACATAAAAAGGTCTTATTAATATATTGAATGATACCTAACAATATTTTTCATACACTGTGTGTATCATTACGTATGTGAGACAGAAGATACTGTCAAGTACATGGAGGTAGGACTTAATTTATTCCTAACACTACAGACCAGCAATTCTCAAACTTTTTGGCCTCAGGACCTCTTCACATTCTTAAAAATCATCAAGTACCCCAAAAAGCCTTTATTTATGTGGGTTATATCTATCAATGTTTACTATATTATAAAGTAAGTAAATTTAAAAAGTATTAATCCATTTTAAAGTAATAAATGTACACCCACCATGTTAATGTAAAATCTTTTTATGAAAATAGTTATATTTTAAAACAACAAAAACTTGGTGACAGCAGTAGCACTGTTTCACATTTTTGCAAATTTCTGTAATGTCTGCCTTTATAAGAAGACAGCTGGACTCTTATTTATTCCCACATTCAATCTGTTGCAATATGTTGCTTTGGTACAAGTCTGTGAAGAAAACCTGGCTTATGTGGCTACTGTCTCTTCAAATAATTGTGGACATACGTTTTTGGTACTATATCAAAACTTGAAAAGTGGTCATTTCTTAAAAGTTAACTAAAATGTGGAATATAAACCATAATGATAAATTTCTTTCATAATCTGTCGCATTAAAATCCACCAGTCTACCCTGTACTTTGAATGCATCTTTTACATATGCATGATTTGGTAACATCATGCATTGGTCATTTAGAAAACACTGATTTGTTGACTTACACATATCACCCAAATATTGATGTAGTTCCTAAAATAATAAAAATTCTTACTTTTATAAGCCGTCAAGCTCAGGTTGGTGGGTATAAATTTCCCAAAATTCTAATTTTTGCTTGAAAACTTGAATTTGGCCACTGGCAATAAATGATGTCAGTCATTTTACTTCAAGTAACAGGTTTTTCCAAAAGTATGTCTCTCAAATACCCAAGTCTAAATATAGCCACAGTTTGCCTGCCATTTTTCGTAATAAAAAAATGGTGTTATATTAAAAAAACAAACAAAAAAACAGTTCAGCTAACAACTGAATCACACATGTGCTTTTCCTCAAGACAACCACTGACCTTTGTCATGTAGCAGACTCCCCGCTGAGCAAGGAACCTGATGAGGGCTGAGATCATGACCTGAGCCGAGGGCAGACTCAACTGACTGAGCCACCCAGGTGCTCTTATTTACCTATTTTTGTGCACCATCAGTGCAAATGACACAACAATGAAAAATGCAAACAATGCAAATGTCTTACCAGTATTAATGAAAACAGTTTTGCCTTGTAGACTCCCTGAAATATTCCTGGGGTTCTCCAAAACCTCCAGGCCACACTTTGAAAAACACTGGTACAGACAAATGGTTTTAACCAACATTTAGTGAAAGCTTGTTATGTGCAAGGCACTCTTATTAATTAGAATTTTGCCTGCAGACAACCTACTGGAGAGTCCTCCAGTGAAGTACTTCAGTAGAGGCCAGTAAGACTGGACAGAGCGGCAATGCTATTGTTATAGACCTTGGCCAATCCCAGAGCCAGCACTAAAGCTGAGATGGCTCTTTAAAGTTGTCCAAATTAAGGCAAGGAGACCAGGCCTTTGTACCCTGACATCTGTACCCCTGATCATTAGATGCAGGCTATTCCCTGGATGGGGCTATAACCACGGATAAAGCAACTGTCTTTGGCAGAGGCAATTCCTGGGAAGACTCAGCTATGAGCCCTCAGGAGGCAATACTCCTAGAACGAGGGCTTTGGTCCCAAAGGAAGTAACTGAGCCACTCACCACAGCATCCACTATATCCTCCTTATTACTAACATAGTATATTTTATGTATGTATGTATGTATGTATGTATTTACTCATTCATTCATTCATTCTCAAGAGGGCGTGCGCATGCAGTGGGGGAGGAGCAGAGGGAGAGAGACAAGCAGATTCGGGAGCCTGACATAGGGCTCCATCTCACAACCCTGAGATCATGACCTGAGCCAAAACAAAGAGTCGAATGCTCAACCGACTGAGCCACCCAGGCCCCCTAAAGTAGTATCGATTTTAAAAGAGCTTGAAATGTCTTGTTTAGAGGATATCTATTTTATGCATAAATTTACAGAAATTCGCTGATCTCTACTAAGAAAAACTGTCCCTTTCATAGTCCCCAATTAAGGAGCGCCCACTAACTGAACCAAAGACACCAGACTGGCTGATCCACAGTTCACAAGCTAAGAGAAGGCCAGGTTAGAAAAGTATTGCCCAATAGAAGAAAGAGAAATTGTCCGAGCTAATCAGTCATTTTGAAGTGTAAATTACGGATGCTGAGAGAATTAGTCAACTGGCATACTGAAAGACAAATGAGAGCGGAAGAAGAGCAAAGAGTAGAATTAGGTTGATGACAGGTCACAGCTCAAAAATTCACAAACTCTAGTTGACGAGTGTTAATCAAACTTGTCAAAGTTTATTTACAGTGTTATCTGTGGCTGGTTCTTCCTTTCTGAATTATGACCTTATGAAAATCCTGTTCTTAGATTCTTTTTTAAAAACTGTGGTAAAAAACGCTTAACATAAAATTTACCATCTTAACCATTTCTAAGTGTACAGTTCAGTAGTATTACGTATATTCACACTGTTGTATAATCAATCTCCAGAACTTTTTCATCTTACAAAACTGAAACTCCACACACATTAAACAACTACTCTCCATTTTCCCCCACCCCTAAGCCCTTGGCAAGCATCATCCTACTTTCTGTTTCTATGAATGTGATTATTCTGGATACCTCATCAATGGAATTGTATAGTTTCTGACTTTGTGACTGGCTTATTTAACTTAGCATAATGTCCTCAAGATTCATCCATGTTGTAACATGTGTCAGAATTTTCCTTTTTAAGGCTAAATAACATTTCATTTTAAGTATATACCACATTTTATTTATCCATTCATCCAACAATGGACACTTGGATTGCTTCTACCTATATGTGAATAATGCTTCTATAAACACAGGTATGCAGATATCTCTTCAAAGATTCTGTTTTCTTCTGGAAATATACTCAGAAGTGGGACTGCTAGATCATATGGTAACTCTATTTTTAAATTTTGGAAGAAACACCATGC